CACTGCGATATAGATTTTTGCTAATACAGCCCAACCAAGGTATATTAAATTTTATCGGCACCGCAAGCTATACAATGTATCACTAATGAGTTACATAAAACCTTGCTTATATAAGTTCATAAAATCTATGCATGTCTCTAGTATTTGGTTAAAATCACATTCTACAAAATCTTAGTGATCAGCATATCCAAAAGCAGCAATGTCACAAGGCAGACCATGATGTTGATACTTTATTTTATTAGGTAGAAGTGGCAATTTTTTGCTGAAAAAAAAGTTTTAAGCATTACTTGCATTTGGCCTCTATGGCAGCACACTTGGCACCAGCTGGTAAATCTTTCAAGATCTCTGCCTCACTCAGCTCTGCCACAGCTTGCACTTTTTTGTCAATGGTTCTACGTAGTTTCGTCCATCCTATTCTTAATATACCGTATTTACTCGTGAAATGAATGCAATTGCATAATAAACGCACCCCCAACTTCAGTCGTCAAAATTTTAATTTTTCTTTTTCCCACTTAATAAACACACTCTTTACATTTGTCTACTGCAGTCCCGCTAACTGACACCTGGTGCCTCCTTGTCCGTTGGAGCTCATCCGTTTTTTTTTTATTATGCCGACCCCCCTCAGCCACCTACGCTCGCTCCCTCCCTCCTCTCCTTCATCCGCTGCAACACACCCTATAGTTTTTCTTTCTATTTTTGAGCACGGCACATACACCGTCTTTTTTAAATATCTATGTGCCACAGTGAGATTCACGAACGATGCAAGTGTAAAGACATCGCAGCTTACAAGCACACAGCGAGCGAAAATTACGAAACTTGCTGCGCCAAGCGACAGTCCCTTCCTGCAAATACGAAACTTTAAAGCCCAACCACATGCACGCAATTTTCGAGCAACAGCGACAGGATTTGCTGTCCCTATGGCTGTCACAAATCAGCTGCAAGCGAGGCGGCCACTGTATTCTGTCATTAATCTTGTTATCGACGATTTGTTTTGATGCTTCGCTACAATGTTATTTGCTTATGTCAACAGCGGCGTCGCGGTCGTCGTGCAAGGTTGCGATGAAGTTGACAAAGTGCGTCGTGGAGTCATTATCTGCTGTGATCTTGATGCACCCTTAAAGATCACAGCAGATACCACTGTTGCGGTTAAACGATTGAGAGAAAAGATAGCCACGAAACGTTTTTATGGCGTGCATGGGCAGCGCAGGAACAGCTTGCAGAAAATAGCGCCTCTAACCATCGAAGATGAGTGAAGTGCAACAAAGAAGCTGAGCGACCTAACTTTTTTTTTTTCATTACCACATCTTTTTTTGCTCATACCAAAAAAGTTTTCATAAAATTTGCCTTGCAAAATAAACGCACCCCCAAATTTGCTCCGATTTTTCTAGAAAAAGAGTGTGTTCATTACGAGAGTAAATACGATATATTAATGACTTACCATTGCATGTTTCCTGTGAAATTCGCATGTTTGCTGATGAATGAGTAATCTACCACACTAATATTAATTGTCATGACCATTACATTCATCAAAGCAACCTTAACAACATACTAAATTGGTGTGGCATTTGGCGAATGACTCTCAACCGCACTAATTGTAAACTCATGTCCTTCTCGGGCTGTCACAATCCTTCTCGGTTTCACTTTTCTATTTCAAATTAATAAACTGAATTAGTAGACTCATATAAATATCTAGGAATCACCCTTTGATCTAATTTGTCATGGCATGCCTATATTACAAACATCATTTCAGCATCGAACAGAACGCTCGGAATTCTTAAACATCATCTCTGCCTTGCCTCACCTCCCGTTAAATTACTCGAATATAAATCACTTATAACACCAAAACTTGTATACACATCTGCCATCTGGAGCCCACAACAAGCATATCTGATCACAGTATTGGAAGTCGTTCAAAATCATATTGACATGACAGCATTTCACCCTTGAAAACTGGATTTGGTCATCACTTCTTTCTTATCATCGCTGCGTTGCTACCCTTACCATCTATCATAAGCTCTTTTATTTAATGGCGTATTCGGTTGGGCGTTTTTTGAACGCTCTGGTGCGCTCTGAAAAGCAGCCATGCCTTCGGTTGGTGAATTTTGAGTGCTCACACTCCCTTTGGTTGGTTTTTTCGGAGCATACGCTTCTGACTCAAGAGCGCTCCCGACCGCTCTGACTTCAAAGTGATAACGTGGCGCAATACGGCCCGAGGACGGATCACGTGACACAAGCGCTTGGTTGCCGGCAGGTGACAGCATGAGCGCGCATTTCGGAAGGGGGCCTTACGGGGCATCGCTGGTGTTGTACGTGGCATGTGTGTGTTGAGTTCGCATCTACGAAGCCGGCACCATGTCAAAAAGGAGGCTGCTACTGAAGGCGGAGTAAACATCAATATTGTTGTTACAGCAGCTCACGACGAATGCCTTGATGCTAGCAGCTCGGACGAAGACGATGATAATTGCCAAATTTATGCTAACAAGTTCGCCGAGTTGTTCGATGAGCCTATCGATGTTCCAAAAGTTCAAGGATGCGTTCAGAATCCCAACGTGGGATTAGCCGGGTGGCGCGGGGTCTCCCCTGCGTCTTCTCAGGACAAAAATAAAGTTTTAATCAATCAATCAATGCATTCAGAAGGTTGTCGACGATTATTCCGATAAACAGGTAACGTAGGGCTGCATGGCAAACATGACAGCACGTAATGTTAAAATGTTATCTTCATTTACAGTTTCACAGCAACTTCCACCTCACTCGTTCAGCGTGTTACGAGCTCGGCAAACAGTTTGAGGCATCGGTATTTTACTCGTCAGACAGACACCATGGCGGTATGCCCGCGAAAACACCTGCGGAGCACATTCTCTCATTTCTTTGGTGAGCAAGTTACATTTTCTGTCAGCTACATGCCACACGCGTTGCTTGCAATGTTCAGTGCAGGACATGCAGTGTAGTTCAACTGTCAACATAGATGTCAGGCTTCTTTATTTTCCTTCTCTATTACAATCAGATGTGTCAAAATTCACCCTGAAAGAAATTCCTAATCACCCCTTTATGTTCATTACCAGAATTTTTTAAGTAGCCATGCTGCTCAGTGCTTTTACTATCATTTTGAAAAAAAAAAAAACTGCATTGCAGAAACGTTTTTCCTCGTTGTTCTTCCAAAAATACTAGAAAAGAGTGTCACATTCTTGAGGCATAACTTTGCCCAATCCGAACAAAAATCACTCGAGGCGAGACCCCCCTCCTTTTTTGTGTGAAAAAAAAAAAGAAAAAAAAAACACAGAGAGCATACAAGCTGTGACCTATCACCTCATCTTGGTGCACCTAATGACACACTCATCACCAAGCAAGAAAAGCTACTAATATAGTCATAAAGGGCTGATTTAAGGTCCGTGCAGAGAGCTCACAAATATAATGTGTGCAATGGTGTTGTGACTTCTGCAAGTAGTTTTAATTAGTATAGTTTCAGTTGCCACATTATAACACCAAATATTTTTATTTTTATGGTGTCGCATCTGCTTGTTACAACACATAGAACTACAGTAATGTTTACAATATTTATAGTTATGCTGTCAACAAGGCCTCAATGAGAAAGGTTGCTGTCCTCTTGGACATGGCAGAGTCCATACAGTTTGCTGTAACTGATAAAGTCCTTGGCTTCTTCTGCTAGCTTGCTCCAGACATCATACACTTCGGATTGGACAAAGAGGCATTGACCAGAGATTTTCAGAAAGTGAATTTGATATTACCTCCATTTATATTTATGTGTGGTAACTCATTATATTGGGAAATAATAAAATATGCATGATGAAACGTCTTTTTGCACTCTTTTGTTCACTAAACTAAAACAATATAATAGAAGATATGGTATGCTTATTCTTGAAAAATCACATCCAGAAAATAAATTACCATGACAAAACTCAGCCTTCATGCCAAACAATTTCCATTTCTCATGCCTTACACTGAATGCTGCAAACTGGAGTGTACTTGCACAACATACAGTTTTACTCTGACTTGGCAATTAGTTGCTCCCATTTCAGCTTGCAGGATTCCCAGTTGTAATTGGTTGCATCGATGACACCTATATTCCAATGTGCTGCCCAGCAAACAAAACAAGGTCTATGTACATAAACAGACACAATGAGGTGTCAATGACAATGCAGGGCATCTGCGATAGCAAAGGAAGATTTCAAGATGTTCTTCCGGCCCCACCAAGCAAGGTACATGATTCCTGTGTACTGAGTCTATCCAGTGTTCAGCAAGACTTGCCCACACTGTGCCACATGAAGAAATACCACATCCTTGGAGATGCAGTATATGCAATCAGGGAACACCTGCTTACACCATTTAAAAATTATGGCAACATGACTCAAGATAAATGCAGGTACAATTATCACCTTTTGTCTACAAGAGTGGCGATTGAAAATGCTTTTGCTTTATTGAAGCAGAGGTTTCGCCAACTTCGATACATCGAATTTACTAAAGTGGACAAAATCACACAGTTCATAATAGCCTGCTGTGTGCTCCACAACGTATGCCTGGACAGTGGTGACACTGGTGTGGAGGACCTGTTGACTGAAGAAGAGTGAGAAGAAATAATACAAGATGCACTACTACAGATCAGAGAGGAGCGTGCCGAGCTGGACCAAAACAGGCAGCCACAGACTGACCAAGAAAGTGTGTTGCGCCGTCTAGGTGAGTGTGTTGCGCCGTCTAGGTGAACTGAAAAGAAACGCTTTAATGCGGCAACTATAGTAAATGATGGGAGCAATAATTAAAGACAAGTCGATATAATACCAAAATTAACTTTTATTGAAGAATTTGATGTGCATATGCAGATTTGTGTACAGGGTATGCTGTGTTTCATGTGTCTGCCTTTGCTGCTAGCTCTTTTGATGCATGAATATGTTTCTTGTGTAGTTTAATTAGTTCGCGATGGCGTTCCTCTCTTCTTTTTTCTCTTTCATCCTTTTTTGCTTCTCGTTCTTTGTTGACTTTTTCCATTCTTTTGAAAGAAGTACTCCATATGCCTCATTCGGCCACCACCACTGAGGCTACCAATTTCATTGCTTTTCTTTCTCTTTCTTCGTTCATGGCCTGTCGTCTTACAAGTGGAGTTATCAAGAAATTCAGAGGTACTGTGCTTGGTACTTTTAGAGGCCACAGTTGCACTAGTAGATGCGCTGGCTTCATCCACTGGCTTAGGTACAACACTCTTGTAGGTCACAGAATGCACACTAGGAAGAACTTCAGGTTCAATGCTATCGTCTGCAGCCCTTATTTGGGGCAAACTCTTCTTCGTACGACACTGGGTAGTGAGTATGGCTGGATGTCTTGTTGTTTGTATCTTCAGTTTTCTTTCGTTTCGCTATGGTCTTGAAGCTTGCTGGCACTGTAGCGGTTCTGAAGATTCCAAGTATTTGCAGTATTTCTTTCGAAATGTGTTCATACATTACCCGCTTGCCCCGAAATTTCTTCATTGGGCCAACCTTGCTAGCATACTGGACATAGAGTGCCAATAAAAGCCTTGTTTCTCCTTCTCCTTATGGTCCTATTTACATTAGAGAAAAATAAATGCTTGGTTATAGCACAAGTGACATTCCGCAAATTCAGATTTTGTATACTAGTAAGAAAAACTAAAGTTTGAATGACCCTGTAAGAATTTTTCTGTGTGTGTGGTCAGCACAGCATAACAGTAAGCGAAATAAAAAAGTACATGCAAGATTGCACTAAAGGCCAAAGAAATGTAGGGTTGGACTACCACTGTCTTTCTGCAAATTTTCAGATTTTGTGTAATAAGAAAAACCAGTAGTTTGAATGGCCACAAAAATATTTTTGTTGACACTGCAGCATTGAAATAAGCACATGAGCAAGACTGCAGTGAATACTGAAGTCCCGCCTGTTTATTCCAGACAGTCTACCACAACGACAACTGACCAAAAAAAAGTAGCAGTGAGGGTTATGCTTACCTGTGCAAGGAGTACCCAAGCTGTCTGCATTGCCTGCGTCCACAGGCGGGACTGGGCTTGGCTCGTCACCTACGAAAAGGAATAAATTTCATTAATACAACTTTTATAAATATTACAAGTGATTATATGCAAAACCGTATATTGCTTCACTAGATGCATTCAGCAGTGCGTATGCAGGCAATTGAAAGGGCAGGTTGAACAACTGCGCAAATGCCGAAGTTGAATTCCAACTGGAGCGATTTGAACAATGCAGCAGCACGAATGTCTGTCTGCAGTATTCATGAGTGATATGCGCTATTTCTCAAGATAATCATGTCATGTCGCAACGAATCTATTTTCTAAAGGTAATGTTGACTCTCATTTACGCGGCTGACTAGAATTGTGTTTACATTACTTGAACTGAAACTGTAGAAACATATAAGAATGAGCATTATTTGCCCTAGATTGCCCTGTTTCAATCCATGAGTACTGTACATACGAAAGAGCCGGGATTCAAAATGTGGAATGAGTGAACCGCCCTAGCTTAGCAAAGCAAGTTAAAAGAGTTGAAAACTAGCACACACGTCTTTGTCTTGATTTGACGTTTAGAAAACGTACACGTCGTCAAATACCACGGCACTAGTACAGGGGTTAACTCCACGAACAATGCGCGAAGGGGCTGCATTACAGCTCGAACCACTCGCGAAAAATAAGTTCGTTGACAAGTTTTCACTTAACTCACCATCATACATTGTCAACATGAGGCACTGTGCTGGGGTCAGACGGCTGTCGTTGCGTCCAGACATGGCGGAGATCGTCACTCAACTGGCCGGTGACATTTTTCGAAGCAGCGCAGAATTGTTTACCTGGCGGCTTCGCGCGCTCACGACACGGTGGCGCTACAGGCGTGCTGCTTCAAGATCCCCGATGTATTCAGTTGGTATGCTGCCTCTCGCGCCCTGATTGTGAGCTGCCTCTGCATCTGGTGACTCTAAGCCACAGGCCCAGAGTGGCCAACCGAATACGCCATTATCATCGCTGCGTCGCTACCCTTACCGTCTATCATAAGTTCTTTTATTCTTCTCTCAATCAAGCACCATATATCACAGCCGCACCATGCATTTCCCACCGCACGAGTCATCTTCTTCAAGTTGCTTGCCCGCCATCGCATACCACTACGTTTTCTGCCACATTATTCCTCTGAGTAGCTTCAGACTGAAATGGCCTGCCTGAATTGTAAACATTGCCTCATCATCTGCTTTTCAAGAATGCATTACTAATCATCAATGTTAAACGAATCATCGCTGTTCAACTTTACTCGTAATCCCACCTCTTATGTAACACCCCCTAATGGGCGCCTTTAAGGAAATAGAACTGAACTCAGCTGTTAAATCTTTCATGATGTCTGCCTCACTCAGCTCTGTCACAGCTTGCACTTTGTTGTCTATGCTTTACACAGCCTCTCGCAATCTACTTGACTGGCCTAGCATCCGCGAAAGCCAACAGCTAGTGAAAAGTGTCATGAAGGGTATCGCCACCACTCATACCTGGAACTTCTGAAAAGTCTTCCTCTGAAACAGTCCCAAAGCTCGCCTTACAAAAATAGTAACCACTATGTCCTACTCTGTACGAGCTCAGGTGCCGAAAACCATCTGGATTGCTTTTAACAGGTCAATCTTTAGCTCAAGCCTTATGCGAAGGTTAATGAGGAGCTGTTGAACAAGTTTTCTTCAGCATTTAATTTTCAATGCCTTCATTCCTAGTCAAGAGCCTGAAGTTTTGCTGTGGTATTCAGTGGACAAAACCAGACTTCGATGCACTGAGAGCAGTGAGTTTTAAACGAGCAGAAGGCCTACTCAGTGATCAGACTTGCAGATCTACACAATTCAGTGCCACAACCATTTCAAAAAAAAGCTCATTGGTCATTTAGGCTTTTCTGTTGAAGTCATAGCGCATTGGCAGGCTCCTGCAGTTTTTTTTTATCCACCATGGTGCCTTAAACTTGCCAACCTTAAATGGATGGACTTAGCATGTTCCATCAATGTTCACCATTAACAACTTGGCACCACACTTTACTTATCTTCCTGTCGTGGCATGTGCTGTCACATAGATCAAGTGTCCTCTTTGACAGCATCTGCCAGAAAAGTTTAGTCTTATAGGCATCAAAAATGTCCGAATGAGAGAAATTCTTGCAAGTTTCCAACTTATCCTTGAAAGCGATTCGTCTATGTAATGGGCAATGACACCTTCACTTTCCCATGAAACCACTTCTACAACGATGCCCACAGCAGTCTTTAAAACACTGGAGCGAACAAGTTTTAAACCGTTTCATTTTAGTTGGCACTATATCATTTCGTTTGTATTTCATACTTCCTCCCAATGAGATTGTGCTTCGTCAAGCCATTTAAGAAGTGTTAGCAATCCTTGTGATACCTTGTGATGAAATCCTTATGATACTGTAAGCCATGAACTGGCGTCTTCAAATCCGGTTAATGGTAAAATAAAGGCCTCAAATCACTCATTCCTATAGCGATACATGTATTCATGCAAACAAAAAAAAAAAGAGTGCACAAAGTGCTATTTCAGCTAATTTCACAGAAATACAGGCTTTTTTTTGTAGCCACTAAAGCAAGAAGTGAATACTTAATTAGCTCAACCAAGCAACAACAATTATATCATAGTATAGGCACAACGCAAGCTAAGCCCGTAGAAATAAAACAAGAAAAATGCCAGGCCTGCATGGGAAGTGCAGCACAGTCGCAACTAAAGCTGGAAGAACATTTCTAGAACCCATTGCAAACTCTCTTGGGGCAACTAGTACAAGAATGCTTGCAAGGTACCCACTATTCCATTCATTAATTCTGTGGCAGATGACGATAAAGAATTATAGCTGAGCCCTTTGTAATGAGTGGAAAGCATTCAACTACCCACTCGTTTTGAAATTCATTTTGTGCGACACCTGGTTACACAATTTATAATCTGTGTTCCCTGTTTGTTATTTTACTCTTCTACCCCGCTATATTATATATGTGAACTAGGTTCCTTTCGGATACAATGCTAATTGGTTTTTGTGCACTGGAGTTTTGAGCACTGGCATGGCTCTGAAAAAGAATACCCCGTTCTCTTTCTTCTCACTCTCTCTCATTTTGTTCTTTTTCTTCCCCCGTGTGATAATCATTATGGATACCAGCAGCAGACAACTACAGCACCCTTGTTGTGATCTCATGCAGTAAAAGATTGAGCACAGTGCAAAACACGACTGTCACCAAAGGTCAGCACCTCATTGATTGGCAGATTGCGCTTCTCCCACACGTAATAGGAATGTTCGACAGGCTTCGTGCATTAATGTGGCAATTGAGAGTCTGCTGTGTATATTTGAATAGGTGCCACCAACTGCCTAGCTACACTAATGCATCGATGGTGTTGCCACCTGTAGCCCGATCTTGTGGCGAATATTTCGGTCTCGCAAGTTTGAAGAGCTAAGGCAGTAGCAGCTCACCTGACTGCCCGGCAGGTGAAGAAGACAATGCGCTTGAGCCGGCGGTTGTAGAAGAAATAATTGAATGACCACAGGCAACCATCTTCGCCATAAGGATCCGAGGCCAGGTCTGGGTTGTAACTGAAGATCTCACATTCATGCAGCGAGATCTCACTGTCCACAGCAGCCCACAGGTGGCTTCGGAGGGCGCTGTATGCTTGGTTAGCTGTTGCAAACAAGTTACTGTCCACGGTGTTCATCACCCACTGCAGATCACAAGAAATTAATGTCATTCAACTAATAAAGAATTAAAGTGGACCAAACTTGCCCAAAACAGCCTTTCCTCAAAACCTGACAAAAAATTTATGATAAACATTATGTCTTAAACAAATATGACCCCAAAAAACATTTAAAGAATAGCTTAATGAAAGATGTACAACACTTACTTTTCTCATGCCCTCTTAACTAGTCCACTTTTTCTCAGCAAGAGTGGTGATAGTAGCAGTGTGCTATGACTTTCACCGTCTTTGTGTTTTCTTTTTTTTTTTTCTCAATAGCCTACTTATAGTATAATTTTGAGATGTACTCCTCACAAAACTGCCAGAAGACAATAACAAAAATGACAGCAGAAGTACGCACATTAACAAGCATTATTTTCCTGTTTTATTCTAGCAGTCCCCCCTCTCTCCCCACCAAAAAAAAAAAAGAAAAGAAAACTGCTAAATTCAAAGTTTGAAAATCAGACAAGAACTGGGACGGAAGTTACTTGCACCATGCATAAAAATAATCAAGCTAAAACTTTTACAGAACATTAACAGTGACAACACGGCAATCGATAAGAACATATATTTAAAACACCCTCATTATTAGTCTAAGAGACACGACAACTTCAAAAAAATAAGGCCCTACAAATGTCAAGTTGAGGTTTTTAAGCTTTGTTGTTTTTTCGAACACTTAAAGGGGCACTAAAGAGGAACAATGACTTGGTTTATGTTGACAAACTAGACTCTTGAGAACTGTAATTACACTATTATAAGTTAATTATCAACAGAGAAAATCAAGGTTGAAGTTTTATTTTTGAATGTTGAAGTTTTATATTTGAATTTCGCACCAAAATCTCCGCACGTGACGAAAGAAATTTCAAATGTATTTCCGGTATTTTTGTGGCGTTGGCTCAACGATATTTTCTAAAACTTCGTATGCCAAGTCACTCGAACTCATAGATTACAATATACTTCATCTTTATTGATTAGACGCTATGTAGGATCCAGAAGACGGCTTCAAAATTTCTTACCTCACAGTGTTCGGAGTGGGAATCTCAAGGTGGCGTCGCCACGCTCATTTACTTTCCACACATTTTGTCACTAAGGGTCATGTCGCGATAAGAAATGTGTTTACGGGATTGTGAAATACACGAAAAATCGTTTTGCTCTTTAGTGTACCTTTAAGGAACAGAATCTGCTTTTGTTTAATTTATTATTATTTAGTTCTCTTGTACCACTATGTCTGTATATGCTAGTTCTATGGTCTTAATAATGCTGATTTGTGACAATTTTTTATTACAATTTTAAGTGTATAATCAACTCTCCAACGACATGCTTAACACGGGTGCTG